CTGCCTTGTAGTAGTCCACATGGTATCAAAAGTCACCGTAGGAGGAGTAGCCACCATGCCTTGGGTGCTGAGGATGGCCCTGATGGATCTGAAACTGTGAGACGTCTGAATTCTAGTCTTCCATGTAACACTGCACCAAAGCAACTGTCAGAACCATAGAGTGAACTCAGGGACTTCCCTGGCAGTCCAGTGGCAAAGATCCTGCACATCCACTGCAGGGGGTCCGGGTGTGGCCCTCAATCATGGAACTAAGATCCAACATGCTGAGTTGCATGGCCAAAAAAATAAATCAGTAGAACTACAAGATCATGTGTGATTCTCTACACTAATAATGAACTACCAGAAAGAGAAATTAAGAAAATAATCCCCTGTCCAATTGCATCCCCCCAAAACTAGAAATTTAACCAAGGACTTGAAAGAGCTGCAAGCTAAAAACTGCAAGACACAGAGCTCAATTAAACTGAACAGATAAAAAAAGACATCCCATGCTAATGGGTGACAATACCGTTAAAATCTCCATTCTAACCAAAGTAACGTACACATTCATGCAATCACTACCAATATCTCATTGACATATTTCACAGAAACAAAAATAATGTTAACATCCGTGTGGAACCACAAAGGACCCAGAAGAGCCAAAGTGACCCTGAGAAAGGAGAACAGGCTGGCAGTACCTCCATCGCTGACTTCAATCTGCATTATGCACCTAAAGGCACCACAAGACATGTGGAACTGTATCAGAAACAGGCAGAGATACCAGAGAGCCCAGAAATAAATCTACAGGTTCACAGTAATCAATTTATAAGAAAGGAGCTAAGAACATACATCCAGGAAAGGACAGTCCCTCAATAAGCCATGCTGGGAAAAATGGACACCACAAAACAAGGAACAACACTGGACACCATTCTTTACCACAGACAAAAACTAACTAAAAACCCACAACTTTCCACATCAAGCCCTAACTGTCCTGGGTCCTCTGAAGACAGACACTCAGCAACAGCCATACACAGAAAGTTTCTTCCCAATTTTCCTCACCTTTTCCTTCAGTGGCACCACCTCCCTGCAGGTCCTGAGGAAACCAGGCTCGTGTCAAACTGAACTGAACCCCACAATGTCCCAAAGCCAAAGCCCTAATGGGTCCTGAGGGGCCAGACTCCCATCACCCTGGATTGAACCCCAAAATGTATCAAAGCTGAAAACCCAGTGGGTCCCAAGAAGACCGGACTCCCATCAGCTTAAGCTGAACCCCACAATGTCCCAAAGCCGAAGCCCCAGTGGGTCCTCAGTGGCCAGACTCCCAACTCCCTGAACTGAACCCCACAATGTCCCAAAGCTGAAATCCCAGTGGGTCCTGAAAAGACCAGACTCCTGTCAGCCTGAACTGAACCCCACAAAGTGCCAGAGCTGAAGCACCAGCAGGTTCTGAGGAGACCAGACTCCCATCAGCCTGAACTAACCCCACAATGTCCCAAAGCCAAAGTCATAATGGGTCCTGAGGGGCCAGACTCCCATCACCCTGGATTGAACCCCAAAATGTATCAAAGCTGAAACCCCAGTGGGTCCTGAGGAGACCAGACTCCTGTCAGCTTGAACTGAACACCACAATGTCCCAAAGCTGAAGCCCCAGTGGGTCCTCAATGGCCAGATTCCCATATCCCTCAACTGAACCCCATAAAGTCCCAGAGCTGAAGCACCAGCAGGTCCTGAGGAGACCAGACACCCACTCAGCCTGAACCCACCCCACAATGTCCCAAAGCCAAAACACCAGTGGATCCTGAGGAGACCCATCTCTTGTCAGCCTGAAGTGAACCCCACAATGTCCCAAAGCCAAAACCTGAGCAGGTCCTGAGGAGACCAGACTCCCTGTCTTCCTGAACTGACTCCCACAACATCCCAAATCTGAAATCCCAGTGGGTCCTGAGGAGACCAGACTCCTGTCAGCAGCCACAGGCAGCCAGGTGCTCAGTCAGAGCGGGATTTCCGCTTGGGGTGGGGGTGGGTCAGGGAGGCGGGCTCCTCGCTCCCTGCCAGCCAATGAGAACTGCAGGTCAAGCCTCCCTCACTCGCGCAGGCACAGCCAAGTGGAGACTCCGCCCCTCAGGGCAGTTCTGCTAGGTTCATTAAACTATGGAAATTCAAACTGAAATATTGCCAATATCCAAAACTTCTCCAAAATAGTTAAGGAATAATTAACTCGAAACTGTATAGAATGAAATGTAGTCACCAAATGCACTCAAATTTATTAACAGATATTTAAATTTTGAAACTGTCAAAATTGTGGACATAAACGTAGAAAATATACATGCCCCTGGGTTTGGCCTGTATATCATGAGCTTTGAGTTTTAACACACAGGCTGTCAGTCCACAAAAGAAAAATATTGTGGACTTTATAGAAATAAAGATATCTATTCTGAAAGAACTCATTCAGAAAATCAAAATACAAGCCACAAACTGGGAGAAAAATATTTGAAAAATTCATATCTGTTACAAGATTTGGACACAAAATAGACAAAGACCTCTTGAACAACCTTATAAACAGTAAGTAAAGATCTGAACAGACACCCAGCCAAAAAACGTTATACAGATAGTACAAAACAGAAACACGCTCAACATCATACACCATTAGGGAATTAAAAATTAATGCCATGAGCTATCACACTATACAGCTGAAGCTTGGAGTCTCCCACAGCCCAAGGCCCTTAATGAGCATGCCTGTAAAGTTAACGTGTTAGTCACTCACTCATGTCTGACTCTGTGCAACCCCATGGACCGCCAGGCTCCTCTGTCCATGGGATTCTCCAGGCAAGAATACGAGAGTGGACTGCCACGCCCTCCTCTGGGGATCTTCCCCACTTAGGGACTGAACCCGGGTCTTCTGCTATGGGCAGACTGTTTACCGTCTGACCCACCATGAAAGCCTGAACACGCCTGTACCCATAGATTAAAGCTTCCCCAACTTTGCAGTTTAGAGAGATACTGCTCTGGAAAGCTGCATGGTGTTCTCCATGGAAGTAATACACTTTTCCTTCCCATGAGCTTTGGCTGGGTTGTATCTTCTGACTCAACACCCACCAAGAGGTAAACTCACTTTCCTGGTAACATTTCTCCATCCAGACTTCCAACCACCACTTGATACTAATTTTACAGTCAGTTGCCTTGCTTCCAGTACATGGAAATCACATTATTTTTCTGTGAGCAAATCTAGCTAAGGGCCAGAAACAGTGTCCCTAATTTTACCTTGTGAAGCCAGTAGGTGTCAAGCAAACTCAGCTCTGTGGCTCCATCCAGTTCGATGCCTCGTTTTACAGAAAACACATGCAAGGCTTTGAGGTTTTATTTATACCTCATTTCTGAAGGCTTTTAATACCTACAATAAATATACAAATGATTCATCAGTGCCACTTCTACTTTGAGGTTTAAAATCCTCCAAGTTTTTTCTAACATACTTATTCCATGCCTTGCGTTTAAATCTTTGACCATACGTTGTTTATCCTGTGTCTCATCAGAATTTAGTTAATTACACAATTTTCCCCTGAATAATGCAGTACTCATCACATAGAGTTCTTGCCAAAACAGGATTTGGCAAGGTAGGGCACAGGTGGGCCTAGGAGAAAGTCCGGGAGCACGACTACACTCTGGTGGAGCCGAGATTCTAGTTGAGGGCACTGGAAGGAAACATCCAGCCTGAGGACAACCCGCTCACTTGAGGATCCAGGCCTAAGATGCAATGCCTGAAAACAAGCAAAGAAAACAGCCACGATGCGCCTGCGCACTGTATCTACTTGACAGACACGCCCTCAGAGCAGCCAATCCCCGAGCAGTGGGGCGGGGCCTCCATCTCGCTCCGCACCCTCCCAGCGCCTATTGGCCAGACTGCCTCGGTCGCAAGGCCGATTGGTCGCTCGTGCCTGACAGGGTACAGGCGGGCTGCTGGCCCTTCACTTCGCCTCAGCGCGGGAGGACTGGACGTCGCCGAGCTACTAGCGCACCCCAGGCCGGGTTGGGCAGCATCGCAGGACAACGGGGAGACTGACAGGGAACCACCCTGCACAACCCTCATAAACCCTTAGCCTGACGACTTCAAATTCCAGGGTGAGAGGCCCCAAATCCCGTCAGCTTTGAGGAACCTGAGTCCTAATCTGAAGGAAGCTAGTGTCTCGTCAGCTTCAGGGACTACAAATCCCTTCACCCACAGAAATACCAAATCCCCTGGTGCTGCAACCCTCAAATACCTAGAGTAACCCCAGCTCCCCTCAGCCTGAGGCACCCTAAAAATAGCACCCGCGGAGACACCAAATTTCCTTAACCTCGGAGACCCTGAATACCTCAGCCTGGGAGCTCTTAAAGCTCTTCTTCCTCAAGACCTCAATTGTCCTGCCTGTCGGAGGCCTAAAGCACCGTAGTAAGAAACCCCTGATTTCCTCAGCCTGAAAGATGCCAAGTTCTCTCACCCTGCACATTCTATATCAGCCAAAAGATCCCCAGTCCCCTCTGCCTGAGGACCCCAGTTCCTTCAGCCCGTGGGACCCAGATCTCCTCAAGCCAATTGACCTGTCCCTTAGATATAGAACCCACGTTATGCCCAGATTTTTCTGAGTCCCCAGGCGGAGATCCTCAAAACCTTTCTTGGAGAAATAATTTCTCTCCTGCACTGGAACAGAGCCCTGATTTCAGCCTGACCCCAGTCCAGCACTTAGGGATTTCTGGGTCTCCTCAAGAATCCCTCCATCACCCACAGACACATCCCTCCCAATGCCTTCCCTCAGAGGGGCTGAATTGTAGGGGATCCAAAGAAACCTAATCTAGTTCACATTAGGCTGATCTGTCATAGCTAGTCAGGATCTGTCCATCCCACCAATACCCTCACCCTGACTTTCCCCTCACCTTCCTGCCCTGGACACTCCACCCAAGGAAGACAAACCAGGCTCTGGACAGTGGTCTTGGCTGTCTCAGCACCTTCTTCTTCCACAGGCACCTTGGCCTTGAGCACTCCAATGGCCATGAGGCCGAACAGGTCTCCAGAGGAGAGCACTGAGGGAGATGCCGGGAGAACAGAGCGGAAGCCCACGGTGAGAGGTGGAGGCGGCAAAGCTGGGCTCTAAGTCAGCTCTATAGGAAGGACATGGCGCTGGTCCCTGAAGCACCACACACTGCTTGCCTGGGCAGCTGAGTGAACTTTCCTGTGACCGTACACAGGATGGGAATGCCTGGTCCTGTCTGAGATGGTGGGGAGGAGTGGGACAAAACAGGACACTAGATTCGTCAACTGCTCTGTGTCCAGGGAGAGTTAGGAAAATGCTCAGTGTTTGTTCAGTTAAGCAGGACACAGTCAGGAAGGAACGTCTTCATCTCTGTCTCACACAGACCATCCAGTAGCTTCAGGCTACTCCCTGCACAAAAAGTGGAGGAGAAGGCCCAGCTCTAAGGTCTGACTTAGATTAGTAAATCACTGATGAAATCGATTATTTTCCCTAGGCCAAAGATGCTTTCAAAGACATCTCCATGTACTTCTCCAAGGAAGAATGGGAAGAGATGGGAGAATGGGAAAAAATCCGTTATAGGAATGTGAAAAGAAACTACGAAACGCTGATTGCTATAGGTAACAGGAAGTGTTGGGTGCCTGTGAGCCTGGGAAACATGAAACAGGTCTTCACCCTCAGTGTTCACTTGGCCCGCTCTTAGGTGGCTTCATCTGCTCACAGTTCCCTTTTGTGTGGAGACTAAACTGCAGGAAATGTTTACAGTTCTGTACCAGAGGGAGGTTGACCCTGCAGTGCAGAGCTCACCTCTTGCCTTGTTCTAGATTCTCCCAGCCCATCCTAGTGACTTCCCTGACTTTGTGACACTTTCCATTGCTTCTGTGTTTTGTTCCTCCTTCTTAGGACAAATATTTTTCTTCTTTCCAGGTTTCAGAGCCACTCGACCGGATTTCATGCATCACCGCAGGCAGGTCATCAAACCCCACGTAGATGACACTGAGGATTCTGATGAAGAATGGACACCAAGGCAGCAAGGTGAGGGGCCAGGAGGATTTAGAGGTGTCTTTCTGAAACCAGCCTAGGCTTAGGTCTCAACTACATCTCAGCCATTAGCAAAGAAAACATAATTTTCAGCATTCCAAAGTGGTTGTGGCTGAATATTGACATCAGCCTGAATGAAGAAGAATGTATAGGTTTTCCAGTGTAATTCTCAAAAGTTTTATGTTTAAAATTTATAATTCTTTTTAAAAAGAATTATTTTTGCTAAACATTCTTAGTGAAAGGCAGTTAAAGAAACCTTAGAAATAAATTCACCAAAGAGATTTAATACTAATCTCATAATTGGTTATTGGATTAAATCTCTTAGAAGAGGAAATGATTAACATATTATGTCAAGATACATTATTTATGTATGTATATAAAACAACACATGATCTTGTTACCCTAAGGTGAAACTAATTCTTTGTTTTAATTCTGAGAAAGCATTTGAGAGAACTATTTATTCTCCCTGATCTTTCCCACATTTCACTGAGCAGAAACAGCATCAGGTAAATAAAATGAAGTACACTCATTATAAAATAGAAGTGAGCAGCTCACTTCCTTTTCTAACTGCTCAGACAGTTTAGGCGAGTTAATATTCCTAGATTGGAGAAAACAATTTAGATAGCTCTATGATTCTCCATCTATGAATTTCTGTACTCCCAAATTTTTAAAAATTATTTATTTAATTTTGGCTGCACTGTGTCTTTGTGGCTGTGCACGGGCTTTCTCTGGTTGCGGTGAGTGGCTTCTCATTGCAGAGCACATGCAGGCTCAGTAGTTTGTGACACACAGGCTTAGTGGCCCCGCAGAAAGTGGAATCTTCCTGGACCAGCCATCAAACCTGTGTCCTCTGCATCGGCAGGCAGATTCTCATCCACTGTGCCACCAGGGAAGTCCCTCTGTTCCCTTAGGTTATTAAAACTAGTGAAAGGGACATGAAAACAAACATTTGGTTGTCTGCAAAGGTTTTTACATGAAGAGAGATTCTTCATAGGGAATATATATGTCACGGTTCACCATACCTCTGCACATCTTAATTTACCTTCTTAACACTTTCTGAGTGTATGGTACACTCTTGCTAACTATGTACACATTAGTGTTAGTGGCCATAGTGTTCATCACTCCATCATGTCCAACTCTTTGCGTACCCATGGACTGTAGCCTGCCAGGCTCCTCTGTCCATGGGATTCTCCAGGCAAGAATACTGGAGTGGGTTGCCGTTTCTTGCTCCAGGTGATCTTCCCAATCCAGGGATCGAAACTGCATCTGTTGCATCTCCTGCATTGCAGGCAATTCTTTACCACCGAGCCACCAGGGATATACATACACATTGCTCTACAACAAATCTGTAGAACTTTTCCATCTTGTGTGACTGAAGCCCTAACCCACTGAGTAACAATTCTGCAATCCTTCCTCCTCATAGCCCTTGGCAACCACGATTATATTTTCTGTTTCCATGGATTTGATTAATTTAGATACCTCATAGAAGTGGAATCAGGCAATATTTGTCTTTTTTGGATTGGTTCATTTCACTTAGCATATCATCAAGACCCATCTCTGATGTAGCATAGGACAGAATTCTTTTTTAAGGCTTAAAAACATTCCATTGTGTGCATGTGTATATAACAGATATAAGATATATCTTATATATAATTTTTATCTTTTTATCCACCAAAGAGCATTTAGATTGCTTCCACATCTTGCCAACTGGGAATAATGCTGCAATGACCATAGAAGTGCACACTATTTATTCAAGATCTTGCTTTCAATTTTTTACGGAAATATACTCTTGAGTTGGATTGCTAGATCATACAGCTGAGGAAACTCCATACTGTTTTCTATAAAGCTTGCAATATTTTACATTTCCAACAATAGTGTATAAGGGTTCCAATTTCTCCATATCCTTACCAAACTTGCTATTATCTTCTTATTCATATTGCTCATCAAAGAAGGTTTCAATTTGTATTTCCCTATTGATTAGTAATATTGATCATCTTTTCATATGTTTGTTGGCCATTTGTGTATCTTCTATGGAGCAATGTCTATTGAATTCCTTCTTCCACTGTGTTAGTCAGCTCAGACTGCCATAGCAAAACAGATTGCATTCCTTAAACCACAGAAATTTGTTTTCTTACAATGCTGGAGCATGGAAGTTTGATATCAGGGTTCCGTCATGGTCAATCAGGTTCTCTTCCTGACTTACAGGTAGGCTTCATATTGGTGTATGCTTATTAACCCCTTATCAGATACATATTTTACAAATACTTTCTACCATCCTGTAGGTGGCCTTTTCAACTCTGTTCACTGTGTCGTTTGCTGCACAGAGGTTTTAAGATTAATGTAATCTCATTTGTCTATTTTTACTTTGTTACTAATACTTATGCACTTGGTACCATATCTAAGAAATCATTGCTGATTCAGTGTCATGAAGCTTCACCCTTGTTTTCCTCTAAGAGTCTTATCAAGTCTTGCATTTAGGTCTTTAATCCATCCTGAGTTGATTTTTCTTCACGATATAAGATCTTCGTTATTTTGCATATGGATATTTTGTTTCCCCAGCACCAGTCGTTATAGGGATTAAATTTTCCCCATTGTCCTGACACTCTTGATGAAGATCATTAGACCATATATCCAGGAGTGTATTTCTGTTTATTTCTGGCTGTCTATTCTGTTCCATTGATTGACATGTCTGTCTTTATGCCAACGGGCTTCCTCAGTGGCTCAGCAGGTGAAGAATCTGCCTTCAATGCAGGAGACACAGAAGATGCAGGTTCAATCCATGTGTTAAGAAGATCCCCTGGAGAAGGAAATGGCAACCGCATCCAGTATTCTTGCCTGTGAAATCCCCTGGACAGAGGAGCCTGGTGGGCTACAGTCCAGAAGGTCACAAAGAGTCAAGAAGACTCAGTGACTAAGCACACACTTCATGCCAAAACTACACTCTTGGTTCCTGTACCTTTGTAATATATTCTGAAATCAGAGGCCTCCAGCTTTGCTGTTGTTTCTAAGATTGTTTTGCCTATTTGGGATCCTCTGAGATTTGGTATTAACTGTAGGATGGATTTTCTGTATCAGAAAAAAATTCCATTGGGATTTTAATAGGAATTGCATTGAATCTTTAAATTGCTTTGGGGAGTATTAACAGCTTAATAATATTAAGCCTCCAAATCCATAAACATGAGACACCTTTCTATTTACTTATGTCAGATTCCTTTCAGCAATACTTTGTAGTTTTCAATGTATAAGTCTTTCATCTCCTTAAGTTTACTCCCAATTATTTCATTCTTTTTTATGCTATTATGAATAAGATTATTGGGACTTCTCTGGGGGTCCAGAGGCTAAGACTCCACACTCCCAATGCAGAGAAATTGGGTTCAGTCCCTGTCAGGGAACTAGATCCCACATGCCGCAACAAAGACCTGGCACAAAAAAATAAATAAAACTAAATTATTTTTAATTTAAATTTAGATCTTGAATATAGCTTTAAAAAAATAAAAAATAATCAGGATTGTTTTCTTATTTTCCTTTTTGGAATGGTCATTGTTCATGAATGGAAAGATATTTCAATGCTGATTTTGTACCGTGCAACTTTCTGTGCAGGTTTTTGTGTGTGTGTGTGGAATTTTAAAGATTTTTCTGTACATAAAGTCATGTCCTCTGTGAACAGACATAATTTTACTCCTTTCTTTCCAAATGGAAGCCTTTTGTTTCCTTTTCTAACCTAATGCCCTGGCTAGGATTTCTAACATTATGGTGAATAGAAGTGTTGAGAATGGGCACCCTTGCCTCTTTATGGATCTTAGAGAAGTTTTCAGCTTTTCCCTGATGACTATGATGTTAGAGGTAGACTTTTCATATATGACATTTATTATATTGAAGTCACTTCCTTCTCTTTCTACTTTGTTGAGTACTTTTGTTGTGAAAGGCTAGTAAATTTATTAGATACTTTATGGACATCAGATGGGGCACAGATGAAGTTTCATATTTCTTTTTAATTCTAAGAAAATTATGCAGTGCTCCCAGTGGAAGCATAGGAGCTGATGATACAGAAACCACCTTCCCTTCCTCCTCCGGCGATCCTTGTCCCTGTCGCGCTCTGGCTCAGGGTCCTGTGTCCTGAGTTAGAAAGCCGAGTGCGGAAACACTTGCCAACCAAAACACTGGTTCTCATCACTCTTTAGGCAAACCTTCTCCAGTGGCCTTCAGAGTGGAGCACAGTAAGCACCGGAAGGTGAGTATTTCCCAAATCCTGTTGCAAAAATGTCCTTCTCATGAATCCAGTCACAGGTGAGAATAGGAGAAAACACAGAGATCCTGGAGACTGCTGCCTTCGTGTCCTGAATCTTTAGCACACTGTCTGATATCATCACCACCTTTACAGTTAGTAAGAACAACAACCATAGTATCCTGTTCTATTGTTACATTATTTTCACAATATTTCAGACTTCAAGCATTTTTTGTGAATAAACTTACTTAAACCTTAAATCAATCCTACAGTACCTATAAGTAAATATATAGCTATCACCATTATAGATCCAAAACATGAGGTAAAAAACATTTGATTATATGCCCGAGATCACAGTATCACTGGTAGTGCAATCTAATTGAAAGCACTTTTTCTAAACTCCTTACAAAATGATTAAAGCTTCCATAGTTCTATGAAGCTTATTCATACATCTTTATATCATCCATCTGAGAGATGTTTTCAACCTCAGTTCTTTTGTGCTGTGCTAGGGAGGGATATGCTAAGACATCTGACTAAGGGAAGCTTAAGGACATGCTGGGCAGTTTGTACAGTGGACAGTCCAGGATGAAGAAGGAGACAGGATCCCTACCTCAGAGCCTCCCACTCCAACAAGAGGAAGCAACTCACAACCCTGACAAGCCTCAGGTTTATGACTGAAAAGCAACAAATAAGAAAATAACTGAAGGACTTCACATAGATTACCCACTTTTGAGTAGAAACTCATCATCTGGGCATCATTTCAAATGCTCATTCTTGCAGGAGGGAGTAACAAGTCCTTCTCCTGAGCTCTGATTAGGCAACTCTCCTGTTTGGAAACATTTGTTTAGCCTGCCCCTGTGTTGTTTGAGAGCCTAGCCCACACCCATTCATTCTCCGAAGTCCAGGCCCAGCTCAAAGCCCCTGAGGGCCCCTGAATGTTTTGTGAATAAGTGACTCCACACTTAAAGATTCCTCTAGGAGTAGGAAGGTCAAAGAATGCTGAAGATAGTATCTGTGAGCTGGACTTAAAATATACATGCAGTTGAAGGGATAAATTGATGGCAGGGATATACACTCACATTCATACTATATTAAATAGCTCACACAGCAATTTGTTTAAATGTTATTAAATTTCATGTCCACTGTAACATTAAGAATTAGCACGTATACCAATTTATGGATCAGGAAAGTGAGGAGAACCAGCTAGTCATACAGCCTTGTTCTAGCAGAATTGATGAGACCAGCTACTTTAATTCCAAACATTGTCTCTAAGAGGACATGGCAACCTGCAACTTTCATCTCATTTTCTTTATCGTCTAAATGTGTTTCTGCCGATTTTTGTATTGTCTAAATGTGTTCTGTCTTTTCTCTTCTTAATCTCACTGCTTTGTCACCTTATTTTCCAGATGTGTTTTGTCCCCTCTGTAATTTTCCATACTTCCTTGTCCATCAAAGGGCCACTAATTAATAGAAAACCCCCTGGATTTCTCTATGAGCCCTTACCCTCTTCTTTCCCTGACCTCCAGCTGTTATCCCTGCCTTGCTCTCACTTTTATGCAGAAAGTTGCAGGGAAAGAACCTTAAGATATGAATTCTAGTTTTGATTCATTATCCACTTAGGTCCTTAATTTACACTCCAGTGTTCAGACCCCACCTCCACCAGGTTTTTCCAAGAATTGTCAAAGTATTAACTAAAGTCATGCATGTGAAAACACTTCATAAAGTCCTAAAGAACTAAAGAAATGCATGTTGTCTTTTACTCACATGGAAGGGACTGTCCAGGGCACCATTAAGTAAGGAATCTAGTTTGAAGGAATTGCCAGGAGCAGCAAAATTGCTGAAGACAAGTGGCTCCAAGCAGGCTCAGAAACCAGTGCCCCATCACAGAAAAGCAAGGACCCCTGGACAGCACCCCAGACAAAGAGTCGGTAAGAAAAATTGTGGGGAGTTCCTCTAATTAGTTCCTCTGATCCCTGTAGAAAAACTAATAAGTATGGTCTAGGTGTGTGGCATGGACTTTGGGTAGGTGGGGGTTTAAGCTGAACTGATCTGAGACGTGAAGTGAGCACTGGGGCCTTGGGAAAATCTTATACATTTTCTGAGGTCCTGATTGCTGTCCGTAAAGTGAAGATAAGGATACATAACTCATACAGTGCTTGAAAGTCTTACATTAAATGCAAAAGTCTGACACCTACAAGTAGTTCAATAAATCCAGCTGTGATAATGGGAACTGTGCTTTGTTAGTGTTTATGCCCAGACCTCTGCTCAGTGCCTTACGTGTCATGTGCCCTGAACATATATTTTCTGAGTAGATGTGTCAGTGAACTATTTCCTAGGTAAGAAGGTTTGGAAGTTAAACCTACTAACGGGAAGTGCAGGAAGCTATCACTGAACTGGGCATCTGTGGTCAGTGGAGCCTCAGTCCCCTGAACCAGTAGTTAAAGGGAGAAGGAACAAAGTATACAGAAGGGACTTCCTGGGGGTTAGGTGGTTAAGACTCCACGCTTCCACTGCAGGAGGTGTGGGTTCCATTCCTAACTGGTGAACTAAGATCCCACAAGCCATGCAGTGTGGCCAAGAAATAAATAATGTAACATTAAAACATAAAATTACAAAAGTAAAAGTTTGAAAAATACATGTAAGAAAGTTTTAACAAAGTGTATAGATGGACAGGTAGGAGATCCCACACTTTCTGATAAAACAGGGACTAATTCTCCAGACCCCATCAGCCTTGCTTAGCTTCTGTTCTCCATCTTAGAACTCAGAGGAAAGGACACTGGAGTAAAGAGGTACAGTCTACGAGAAAGAAAGGGCCACGTGTACCAAGAGGCCAGTGAGCCCCAGGATGACGACTACCTCTGTGAGTGACCCCGCTGGCCCACTCATGGAGAAGGGGCTACGAGGCCTTGGTCCACTAACCTCACCTCACCATTTGGTCCCGCGGCCATCCCCTTCCTCTATGACTTGGGGTGCAGGATCGAGGCCAAATGCCATGAGTGCCCCAGTTCTTTCTGAAGGTCGTTACGACCAGCATCATCACTACACCTCCCCTCATCCCTGTTCTCACCTCCAGATTGTGAGGAGTGTCAGAATTTCTTCATCGACAGCTGTGCTGCCCACGGGCCCCCAGCCTTTGTAAAGGACTGTGCAGTGCCAAAGGGGCACGCCGACCGCTCAGCGCTCACCCTGCCCCCTGGGTTAAGCATCAGGCTGTCGGGCATCCCTGACACTGGGCTTGGAGTGTGGAACGAGGTGTCTGATCTGCCGCGGGGCCTGCACTTTGGCCCCTATGAGGGCCAGATCACAGACGACGAAGAGGCTGCCAACAGTGGATATGCCTGGCTGGTGAGAAGCACCCGTTTCCCTGTCCTCTGGCCTCTAATCGCTTGTGTGTGGTGGGGGGTACTTCATGTCTACATGTGAGGACGCAGATGGTGATAACATGGTCGGCAATGATACAGTCAGCCCTGTGTACTGCGTGCCCTGGGCGTGAACACAGGACTTCCATCTAAAGGTCAGAGGAGAGGTGGGAACACAGTGCACAGACACACAGGACCTCTATCTAAAGGTCAGAGGAGAGGTGGGAACACAGTGCACAGACACACAGGACCTCTATCTAAAGGTCAGAGGAGAGGTGAGAACACAGTGTAGAGACACACAGGACCTCTATCTAAAGATCCGAGGAGAGGTGGGAACACAGTGTACAGATACTCAGGACCTCTATCTAAAGATCCGAGGAGAGGTGGGAACACAGTGTACAGATACACAGGACCTCTATCTAAGATCAGACGAGAGGTGGGAACACAGTGTACAGGACCTCTATCTAAAGGTCAGAGGAGAGGTGAGAACACAGTGTACAGATACTCAGGACCTCTATCTAAAGGTCAGAAGAGAGGTGGAACACCTTGGTACACACACAGGACTTCCATTTAAAGATCAGAGCAGATGTGGGAACACAGTGTACAGATACTCAGGACCTCTATCTAAAGGTCAGAGGAGAGGTGGGAACACAGTGGTCCAGGCACACAGGACCTCTATCTAAAGGTCAGAGGAGAGGAGGGACCCCAGTGTACAGACACACAGAAGTGACTCCTCCCTTGTGGAGCCCTTGCCTTCAATGAACCAAGAGACTCAGACTTGGAATGATGAGTAAGGAGCTTACCGTGTGGTCCAACTGGCAGTTGAATCCATGCAGGCTGAAGAGCACCAATGACTGCAGAGGGAAATAGCTCTTCTATTGCTTCCTACCAAAAAAAAATAAAAGAGAGAGGAAAGCTTGTAACTCTTTTTCTGACACTCAGATCACCAAAGGGAGGAACTGCTATGAGTATGTGGATGGAAAGGACACGTCTTGGGCCAACTGGATGAGGTGAGTGCAGTGAGTCTGCAGTGTGTAGCCGTCGATACTCCCTCAATTCCACACCCCTTTCCTTCTCAACCCAGGTCCCTCAACAGCTTTCACATCTTCTTTCCTCTTTTCCCTCCATATCATGCTCTTTCATTTCAAAAGACACTAGAAAGAAGGAAATAAAAATATGGCATGTGCCTCAAGATACAAGTCTATATGCTGAACAAAACTGGTGGACTTGAAAACAACTTGAGGAGTCTAGATTCACCAGGGACACTTTAACTGACTTAATGGACACTTACCACGCACTTTATGTTTCAGTTTAGACAGTGAACTTCGTTACTGAAGCAGGTCACACAACCCATGTCCTTTTGGAGAACATACTGCAAACAGACATTAGCCTATTGATTTTAGGAACAGTAACCTTATTTTTTCTATCTTTGAGTAACTGCACAGCGCCAGGATAACCTAACACAGGAGACCTTGACTCTATGTGGGCAACAAACTCCTCAGGCTTGGCTCCAGTAAGAAGTGGGCCCTGAGGCCTCAGAAGGAATGGGGAGCAGGATGGCCCTGAGCAGGGCCATTCTCTGAGGGCCTCTCCTTTCATCAGGGCAGGTAGACAGGAACAAACTATTACTGTTCCGTGTCTCAAGCTATGTCAGAGTTCTCTCAATATTTCCGTGGGAGGGGGTGGGCAAGTGAATAGGACCCTGGATACACGTGGGGAGATGGGAGAAAGCCTCGGGAGAGAAGGCAGGCTGGGGTGAGTGCTGAGGGCTGTGTGCTAGCCAAGGAGCACCAAGTCCTGCGGATGAAAGAGAACTTAATTCAGAGTTTAGAGGAGCTGGAGGTCACCAGCCTCACAGACAGTCCAGATGGAGATGAGTCTGGAACTGGGCTCTGGAAAATGGCTAATTAGGTAAGGAGAGAAAAGCATGGGAATTCACATGGCCTGGTCGAAGGTGTGAACAGAAGGTCCATATGACGGACGGCCTCAGAGGCAGAAGGCAAGGAGCTGAGCATGGTTGGAGAGTGGAGGGCACTCATCACCTGAGGTTTCTTTCCCTTTCCCGGCCTCAACCCCAGGTATGTGAACTGTGCCCGTGACGATGAGGAGCAGAACCTGGTGGCCTTCCAGTATCATGGGCAGATCTTCTACCGAACCTGCCAGGTGATCAGGCCGGGCTGTGAGCTGCTGGTCTGGTACGGGGACAAGTATGGCCAGGACCTTGGCATCAAGTGGAACAGCAGGGGGAAGAGTGAGTTTGCGACTGGGAGAGGTGAGTGTCACCCCTCTTCCAGCACCCCACCCTATCCTGGGAGTCTCCATGGTCCGATTTCGAAGCAGAGTACAATCCAGTCCAAAGTCAGTTGAGTTGCAATTAAAATGCCTCAGAATTTGATTCTTTCATATGATTGTTAGGAAAAATCTTTATATTAAAAATGTTAGTTCTAATTTTTAATATTTCATGCAAAATAATATGTAACATCACCTTCTGCTGAAAGGCTTAGAGCAAAAAGCAACTTTTCTAGCACCTACCAGCTCTCTCCCCTTTACCTGTTTCTTCCTCATTTCCTCCCATTTCTAAGCGACACATGTACAGTGATGTGCATTCAGTTACTGTTCCAGTTTGTTGTCATGTGAGTTCATACGCTGTGCCAGATGGGGCTCCACGCACCGAAACAGACAGGACCACTGCCTTGGGGCAGCATGGACTGCAAAGCAGACAGGGGCTGGTGCTCTAAGGAAAACCAGTGCAGGGAACGTGCCTGGGATCAGAGTGAGCAGAGTGGGGTGTGGTGCAGGACGGTGGGGCAGGGTCTCTGCAGAGATAACACCTGCGGGAAAGGATTCCAGGTGGGGGAGCAGCCAGTGCCACAGCCCCAGGGCTGGAAAGAGAGGCCATGCCAGGGGTCGCAGGAGGAAGCACAGAGGGAGGGGAAGGAGGCTGGATGGGACACGGAAGCCTCAGGGCCCGTGTCCACACGCAGGCCCCAGGGGTCTTCCTGGGTGACACAGAACAACCGTGAGGCTTTCAGCTGCAAGCAGCATGTTCTCTGTTCCGTGACGATGCTTTGGTTCATTTTTGGGAAGAGACAGCAGCGGGGAGTCCCCTCAGAAGTCAGTTCATTGCCAGACACGAGGAGAGAGTGGGCTGGCTAAAGATGCTTGGGAGTGAGGATGTGAAGAGTCTGGCTGGAGATGTATTTTTAAACAGGGCTTCCTAGTGCATGTTAAATGGACTAAGCCTGAATGAAATAAATGTATGGGTACTGGTGAGGCTTGAGAAAGGATATGCCTTTATTTTATGATTTATGGGAAACTGAGAGAGGAGCAATTTTTGAACCTGTTGGGGCAGCAGGAGCCAGAGACCTGTAGTCAGTGGGACCTGGGCCGGTCAGTCTCATCCAGTCTCAAACCCACTTTCTGCAGAAATCAGCACAAAGGCTGCTCTTTGAACAAGGGGCCACAGAGTCAGCTTCACTCACACCTGCTCTAACCACCTCCTGTGCTGCCCCCCATATGCAGAGAGCTCCAGGCCAGGCGCCCCTAACTTAATAGACCCTTTCCCCTCACAGGGAGCCGCTGAGGAGATTCCACCTAAGTCATCAACTCTTATCTCTCAGTAGTAAATACCTGTGGCCACTGTGACGTGACTTTTCTGATAATTACACGCAGGGAAAGTCCCTGCAGATCCACCTCTATCAGGAGAGATGCTGCCTCTGATACTGCTGGAAGGTCCCTATCTGGGTGATATGTAGAAAAGGCCCTTGACACCAGCTTCCTGGATTTCTGTAGATGTAGAGAATAAGAGTGGAATGGAAAAGTGGACTATAAAGGCACAGTTGATGGGAGACAAATCGTGCACTGTCAACACTTATATGATTAGTGGGGCAGGCCTGACCACGGCCAACCAGCTACCTGACCAAAAGCTTCCTCTTTCAGCAGAACCGAAGCCCAAGATCCACCCATGTGCCTCCTGCTCTCTGGCTTTCTCCAGTCAGAAATTCCTCAGCCAACACATCCAACACAGTCACCCCTCTCAGACCCTCCTGAGACCATCTGAAAGAGACCTCCTCCAACCAGAGGATCCCTTCCCAGGCAATCAAAATCAGCGATATTCAGATCCACACAGCCCGAGCAACAAACTTGAGGGTCAGGAGGCCAAGGATAGGCCCCAACCTTTGCTGAAAAGCATAAGGCTGAAGAGGATTTCAACAACCTCTTCCTACTCACCTGGAGGACAAATGGGGGGTTCTGGGGTGCATGAGAGAATGAAAGATGAGCCCAGCACAAGCCAGAAACTGAATCCAGAGGACACAGGCACATTGCTCACGGGGGCAGGGGTCTCAGGGATTATGAGAGTCACGTACGGAGAGTGTGGGCAAGGCTCCAAGGACAGGTCCAGTCTCACCACACATGAGAGGACATGCACAGGGGAGAAGCCCTATGTTTGCAAGGAGTGTGGGCGAAGCTTCCGTCAGAAGTCAGCCCTCATCATACACCAGAGGACACACACAGGGGAGAAGCCCTATGTTTGCAGGGAGTGTGGGCGAAGCTTCCGTCAGAAGTCAGCCCTCATCATACACCAGAGGACACACACAGGGGAGAAGCCCTATGTTTGTGGGGAGTGTGGGCGAAGCTTCAGTGATAAGTCAAATCTCATCTCACACCAGAGGACACACACAGGGGAGAAGCCCTACGTTTGCAGGGAGTGTGGGCGAAGCTTCATTCAGAAGTCAGTCCTCATCAGACACCAGAGGACACACACAGGGGAGAAGCCCTATGTTTGCAGGGAGTGTGGGCGAAACTTCAGTAGGAATTCCCTCCTCATCTCACACCAGAGGACACACACAGGGGAGAAGCCCTATGTTTGCAGGGAGTGTGAGTGAGTCATGACCAACAAACCACACCTTAGCCACAGGAGGATTACTGCAGCCACCCCATGCCTCAGCTCTAAGGGGGCCTCAGAGGAGGTCTGTGACCCGTTACTGTCCCCAGGAGCATGAGGAGAGACTTCCCAGGTGGTCCAGGGGTCAAGACTCCAATGCGGAGACCCACGTTCAATACCTGATTGGGGAACTAGCTCCCACGTGCTGCAGCTAAGACACAGCACAGCCGAATAAATAAATATATAGTAAATATTTTAAAGAAAGAGTGTGATAAGCACAGGATTACTTGTTAAATAGACCTTCCACTTTCGTGACAAGAGAGGAGGTAGATAAACAGCAGAGGGTTTCTTGGGTGTTCTGGAGATGTTCGTGCCAATTGCCTTCGTGGTTTTTTAGTACTCCTCTTCTAAGAAATTTTGTCTCCAAACAAATCTGAAGCCCAGACTATATACTCATTTCCCCCTTATTACTAACAGCAGTAGGTCCCGGTGGTAGCTGAATTCCTCAGAAGCCATAATTCTGGAGCCAACTCAGTTAGGTCACTGGACAGTCAGTTCCTGCGTCCAGGGAGAGGAATCTAGGGTTTGAGACAGACTCACCAGGGAACGGGATTCCCCGGCCTCCTGGGAAGTGTGGCCTCTCCTCCTTATAGACCTCGACTGTCCTTTGGCCTCTCCTGGTTGCCCTCTGGTTTCCTCTGACTTCTGTAGCCTCAAAGGTGAAGGCCATGTGCACGTGTGTGTGTGTGTGCGCACGCGCGCCTGGCTCAGCATGGGCCGTCTGGTCTCTGCCGCTCCCTCAGGGTCATCACAGCATCTGGACTCCAGATTCGACCACAGGGGTCCAGTTCTCAGCCCTGCCCTCAGCAGCTGCGTGAGCTGGGGCAAGATGCTCAACCTCGCTGTGTCTCTGTTCTCATCTGTGATATGGGGTGGGAGCACCAGCATTTTGGTGTGATGCATAAGCACAGGCAGAATCTGGCAGAGGCTGGCTGAGAACGCAAGCCCCACCATTGCTGTCCTTTGTGTTTTTTTCTTCAATCTCTTTTTATTTTTTAATAGAAGGATAATTGCTTTACAGAATTTGTTTTCTGCATGTCCTCCAGCCCCCACACCTTCCAGGACTTCAGAGCTAGACGAGGAAGGGGCTGTTTAGGCACTGGGCTGCCCTGATGACGGGGTGTGAGGTCAGGGGTGCTAAGGGAGGGTGACCTCCCTTCCCACCCGAGCCATTCCTGCTGAGCTGGGCAGCCCCAGGGCCCCTCCACAGCCAGGCAGTGCCTACAGCCATCCGCCCTGCTGAGAACAGAGCCTGGAGCCGCGATGGCAGTAAATCCCTGTCCGGGCCCCATCCCACCCCCACACAGAGGGTCCTCAAAGCCCACACCACAGCTTCTCTATGCATGGGCCTCGTACCTGTGCCCGTGCACTCTGGTCAACGCTGTCGCGACCTTGAAATTGTTAACCATGGAACAATTAACACTTCCCTTTCATGAGTGAAGTCTGATGGGCCCCGGGGTGCACTGTGAGCAGAGCAGATGCTCACACAGCATGGGTCCCGGAGTGACCAGGCTGCACCAGGGGACAATGTGGACACAAAGCCCACCCCCCCCCACCCTGGGTGAATGAAGATGGGGACAGCACCAGGAAGCCACGCTTGCTTAGACCGAGAAGCGAGCTCCGACACAGAGTGGGAGCAATGGCGTTCTTAAGGTCGACCACACCCTCCCCTCTGTGAATGACCTCTGCCCTAGCCTGATCCTTCCAGAAGGGGTTCAGGAGGCTGGAGTCCACCTGGCCACCAGAAGAAAACAAGGGGAGAGTGGGACACGGGGCGGGGTGCGGAGTATGCGAACTCCAGGACTCGGGCAACGGCCTTCAGTTCCCTCCGTGTGCCAGGCTTGTGAAGCGTCTCTACATGAATCGTGTCAGTAATAACCACCCACTATTATTTTCCTGTTTCTGTCATGCTTTCTTAAAGGAACGTGTTTGTCTGTGGTTCGGTTTCCCTACAGGAAGGGAAGCCACGTAAACTCCCCATCTTCTGTGGCTTCAGGCCGGGGCCACGGGAGGGAGAGTTAGGGGTGGTGCAGGCAGAGGGGCTTCAGCTGAAAAATGGTGGGGGCCCAGAAACCTGCAGGGGCTTCTCACCCGCACCTCCCACCAGAGCTGGGCCTGGAATCCCCTGGAAGGCTGAGCAGGTCAAAGCTTCTCCCTCCCCTCCCCTCTGCTCCCCTCCCCTCAAAAAACTAATTCCTGGGGCCAGCCCACAACACCCCCAAATCCATCACCCACAGCCCCACACAGGCCCTCCCTCACAGATGTGGGATGACCTGGATGGTGGCACAGATGGTGTGTGACCCCAGAACTGGGGATCTCAGCTAACCTTGAGCAAGGGGGTTGGTGCTTTACACAGCCTCCCAGCCCAGGGAGCTGCCATCAGCCACAAGCCATGATCTGAAGCGGAGCTGGGAGATGGGGAGTGGGGATGCAAGCTGTCTGAGGTCCCATCCTGTCCCCAGGACAGCGTCCAGGCCTCACCTGACACTGTCACTGCCCTGCATGGGCACACAGGACACCAGCAGTCACGGGATGGACAGCCCGCTGCCTCTGCCTCACGCTCCACCCTGACCACGGCGGCCCCACAGCTGTACCAGTCCCGCCTGGGCGCGGTTCTGCTTGGCTGCCGGGGCTCAGGGACCCTGGGTGAGTTGGTGAGGGCAGAGCTCCAGAGGCCAAGCCTGTATTCAGCCGCCAGACCTGCCCTGCTTACTGGACTCAGTAAGTATCTGGACCCAGCCAGTATCTGAAGCCAAGATGCCTTTGGGAGAATGACACCACAGACGCTGACCTCAGAGCTCAGACTCCTGAAAACTTACTAAACAGATTATTTTTAGTCTTTTTTTGAAGTGGGATGTTGGCAGGAAGCGGGGTGGGAATGACTCCCTTGGTGGTGCTGTGGTTAAGAATCCACCTGCCAATGCAGGAGACACAGGTTCAAACCCTGATCTGGGAAGACCCCACGTGCCTTGGAGCAACTAAGTCCATTCACAACTACTGCAGCCCAGGAGCCTAGAGCCCGTGCTTCCCAACCAGAGCAGCCACAACAGGGAGAAGTTCAGCACAGAAATGAGAGAGCAGCCCCCACGCCCTACAGCCAGAGAAAAACCCGCACAGCAGCGAAGACCCAGCACAGCCAAAAATAAATAAATAACCTTTTTTTAAGTAGGAGATCGCAGCATTTCTGCTGATCCAGAGGCTAGAACTCTGAGCTCCCAACACAGGGGGCCACATTCAATCCCTGGTCAGGGCACTAGATCCCACATGCTGCAACTGAAGGCCCTGCATGCCACATCTAAGACCCAGCGCAGCCAATTAAATGAATACTTAAAAGTAGGAGGCTGTTCAGCTGTCACCATAGAAAACTGCAACATTTTAGGAAAAGAAAAAAAAATGATCTTATTCTGCAAGTGCTCATGGTTGATTGCAAAATTTTCTCATAATATGCAACTGTTTAAAAAAACTGAAATTTAGAAAATACAGAAACTAAAACACACCCATAAATGTGTGGGGAACACCAATTACTGCAGCATCTGGCCACCACACATGGGAACACATGTCCGTGTTTTTCTTCCACAAAGAAGCTTTCAGCCTCCACCCTTCTTCCCACTGGCCTCTGCTCTGCTCACCAAAAGACTGCGCTTTGGCCTCGTGACGGGGGGGCGGGGGGGGGGGCGGTTTCTGTTCAACTCAGGGAGGTGGAGGAGCAGGGCTGTGTGGTTGGGGGCACCGTCTGGCCTGCAGTGAGGAGAGAAGCACGAGTGCGCCCCCTCTAGGTCAAGTAACTCCAGGGGCCTCAGGGGAGCTACGTGGGAAGAAGCCTCTCAAACACCTTCCCTGCAGCATCCACAGTTACAGCACATCCCACATCTCGGGGATTGGCTGTGGGTTAACAAGTCCTCTCTTGTTGGACAAAAAAGTGTTTACACAGAGAATCTGCCCAGATCTTGGCCTAGTTTGGTTCTCTTATTGGACATGGAAAGTGTTTCCACAGAGACTCTGCCTGGATCCTGGCCTTGGTTGGTACAGATGTAACAGGCAGTACGTTCAGGGCTCAGGGAAGTTAGTTCTGAAGCTCCCTGGGTTTAGGGCTACAGCGCCTCCTCACCTCCACCCCTTCCACAGTCATGGAGCCTTCTCTTCCAGAGGAAGGTGTTTGGCAACATCAGCCACAAAGACACATACTGAAGAGGAGAAAGGCCATGGCAGGTGGGGCTGGGTGTTCCTGGGGGAGCAGAGGGGCCTTGGACACTCCATGGTGGACCCCTGCCCCACCGGCTTCTCCTCCTTCTCGCTGGGCATGCAGCTTTCACCTCCGGGATGCCTGCCAATGGTGGGCTCCCAAGGCACCAAGCTGGGGTTGGCAATAGGTGAGCTGGATGCCAGGGAACCCAAGACCCTGCAGCAGGTCAGTGCACTATGGACAAGGGCTGGCCTCACTGAACCGTAGGCCCTGTGCATTCAGGACACCCTCTCTGGACCCCAGGTGGAGGTGCTGCTGCCCCCAGGGCCCACCTGGGTCTCAGGAGGTGGAAGAGAGACCGAGTTGTCCTTCCCACCTCCTGCCCAGAGAATGACAAAGGTCAGTTCCCAAAAGACAGAGAAGGGTGGGCAGAGTGAGTCTTGGGTCTCACAGGGTCCCTGTGAACAGGGGTTCACTGCTGCCTGGATCCCTCTTGGCTGGTTCTCCTTCTGTGTTGTCTTCACATCAAATCTCACAAGGACGAGGCAGTCCAGGTGCCCACAGCATCACTCACCCAGGTGCCAACAACCCTCCTTATTTATCA